TACTTCATAACTGTAATTTTGCTACTGTTATGAATCGTAATGTAAATATCTGATATGCAGGATGTATTTTCATTGTTACACATTGAACATAATTAAAGCATAGTGATTAATCACAAAAACAATATGTAATTATATATGTGTTTTCCGATGGTCTTAGGCGACCCCTGTGAAAGAGTCATCGCAACCCCCAGACCCACAAGTTGAGAACTGCTGCTTTAGATGAAGTATAGGACAAGGATGCCCCGTTTTGCCACTGTGAGTTAATATTGTACTAGAAGGTCTAGCTAGGGTAATTAGGCAAGAAAGAGAAATAAAATGCATCAAAATGGAAAATAAGTAAAACTATCTCTAGTCACAAATGACATGATACTACATACAAAAAATATAAAGAAACAAAGATTAGAGCTTATAACAAAGTCAGCAAAGTTACAGGGACAAGGTCAAAATAAAAAAAAATGTTTTATTTCTTTTTTTTAACTTTTTATTGATTAAGGTATTACAAATGTGTCTTTATCCCCCCCATTGTCCCCTCATCCCCCCAGTCTTGCCCTCACCCTCACCCCCTGTTGTCTGTGTCCATCGCTTATGCTTATATGCATGCATACAAGTCCTTTGGTTGATCTCTCCCCTGTTTTATTTCTATGTATCTGCAATTAACACTCCCAAAAGTAAATTAAGAAAATAATCACATTTATCAAAGCATGTAAAAAATAAATTTAACCAAAGACGTGCGAGACCTATGCTATGAAAAGTATAATAATATTGTAAAAATCAATGAAAGGGGACTTAATAAATGAAAATACATCCCATGTTCATGGACTGGTAGAAGCAGTATTATTGTTAAGATGGAAACACTACCAAAGGCAATCTAGTGGTTCAATCAATCCTTATCAAAATCCCAAAGGCTCTTTTACAAAAATGTAAAAGCTGATACCCAAATCCATATGGAATGCAAGCGACCACAATGCAAAATAATCTTGAAAACAAAGTACAGAGTTACTACACTTTCTAATTTCAAAACTTATTACAAATCACTGGTAATCAAGACAATGAGATATTGGCATTAGGATAAACTTAGGGATCAATAAATACAATTGAGAGTCTAAAATAAATCCAAGTGTCTATGATCAACTGATTGTCAATAATGGTATTATGACTATTTGAGAAGGCCAAGAATAGTTTCTTTTAAAAAATGGTCCTGGGACAACTGAATATCCACATGCTAGAGAATTAAGTTGGACTCCTACTTCACAACATATAAAAATTAATTTATAATGAATAAGAAATGTACATATGATAGCTGAAACTATAAACTTTTTGAAGAAAACAGGGAAAAATCTTTATAATGACTTGATAATAGTTTCTTAGATATGATACCAAAAACATGAGCAACAAAAGAAAAATAAATTAGTTGGACCATAGCAAAATGAAAAATATTTTGCATAACAAAAAACACTCTCAAGAAAATGAAAGACAACCCACAGAATGAAAATATTTCCAAATCATATATCTGATAAGGCTCTCTTACTCCAACTATATAGAGAACCCTTGTAACTCAAAAATAAAGAGACAAACAATTTAAAAATGGGCAAATGGCTTGAGTTGACATTTCTCCACATGAAATACACAAGATATCAACAATCAGAATAAAATGCTCAAAACCATTAGTCGTTAGGGAAATGCAAATTCAAACAACATGAAATATCACTGTTCACATTCACTATAATAGTTATAATAAAAATCAAAGCAAAACACATATGTTGGGTTTCAGTGAAGACTGAGGATTCTTAAAAATGAGTCATTCAAAACAATACATCTTTAAAAGTTTATGTATAGTCATGACTTTTGGCATAAAAATGGATAAGCAGTATCCGGAAAAAGTCATTCTAAACCTAATGTACAATACCAGTGATGGTAATGTAAAGTGTGGACTCTCAGTGATTATTATGTGTCAATGTAAGTTCACCAATTTTAAGAAATATAGCTCGGCTGGCATGGTTCAGTGGTTAAATGTCAACCAATGAACCAGAAGATCACAGTTCTATTCCTGGTCAGGGCATGTACCCAGGTTTCAGGTTGCAGGTTCTATCCCCAGTAGGGGGTATGCAGGAGGCACCTATCAATTTTTCTCTCTCATCATGGATGTTTCTCTCTCTCCCCCTCTCCATTCCTCTCTGAAATCAATAATAAAATATATATAAATATATACCATTTTGGTGAGGGATCTTGATAATGGGAGAGTATGTGTTATATAATAAATCTTTATTATTTTTACTTAATTGTGCTGTAAGCCTAAAACTACTCTTTTAAAAAGTCTATTTTTTTAAAAATCACATAATTTAAGACATAACAATATTACAAAATTAAGACAATATTATGATCTACAATGAGCTAACCTTGCAAATGACAAACAAAAGACCTAAAAAATCACTTCTGAAGTTTCCTGGGAAAAGAGGAAGTAATTATCTAGAAAAGATTAAAAATCACAATCTACTAATTTTACATTATCAAACTAGACAGTAGTTTAGGAATGGGAAAACTTGTTGCTAATATTCTGGATTTTATTTGTTACAAATCTCTGAAAATAATATAAGTTTAAAAATAGCCCTTAATCCTATTATTATTAACTAGAGGCCTGGTGCATGGATTCCTGCACATTGAAAAAAAATTAATTAGAATAAATATTTTAGAGGCCAGGGAGGGACCACAGGAGGGTTCCAGGGTATGTCAGGCCCATCTTGCCCAATCCTGATCAGGCCGATCAGGGCCAGGCCAGGGAGGGACTGCAGGAGGTTGGCCGTCCAGGGAGGAATTGCAGGAGGGACTCCAGCAGCAAGCTAACCTACCGGTTGGAGCATCTACACCCTCATGGTCAGTGCATGTCATAGCGACTGGTTGAATGGTCAAACGGTCGGACACTTAGCATATTAGGCTTTTATCTATCTAGAAATATAGACACATATATAAATATAGATATAGATAGACATAGACATAGATATATATATATAGATAAAAAGGCAGCATAATTAATGGCATGATTTATATTTATTAAAAAAAATCTCAGATAATGCCTTAGTGTAAATTATCTCTATTTTAAAACTATATAAATGTTTAATCAATTATAAGGCAATGAGGCCTCACTTGGTTATTAATTACTTAAATTATTATGCAAACAAAACATATTGGTGATAAAATTATTTAATAATTATTCATTTGTGAAGATCACAAAATAAAAGTCATAATTGGAAGAAAATGAAAGAGCAAAATTCATTTATAATTTAAAAAGTGAATTTCTTTTGTAAACCATATTTCAATACAAATAATTTCTCCCAGTAGATTTTATTTCAGTTTCTAAAGTATGAAAAAACATTTCAGGATTCAAAACTTTAAATTTTTTTATTGAATTCATTAGGGTAACATTGATTAATAAAATTATATAGGTTTCAATTGTACTATTCTATAATGTATCATCTGTATATTGTATTTTGTGTTTAGGGAGGTGTTGTAAAACGGTAAAGATGATTTGAGTTTGGGTGGTGGAAACACAATGCAACATACAGATCATGTATCATAGAAATGTACAAGTGAAACCTATATGAACTTATTTAAGAAGCTGCCATATGACCCCTTTTCCAAGTATCATCTGAAAAATTAGAAAACATTTATTCGAAAATATTTGTGCATCCCTATGTTCTTTACAGCATTATTCATGATGTTCAAGACATGGAGACAATCAAAGCATCCTGCAATAGAGGATTCAACAAAGAAGATGTGGTATATATACACAATGGAATACTACTCAGCCATAAGAAAAGATGAAATACTGCCATTTGTGACAACATGGATGAAATTTGAGAATATTATGATAAGTGAAATAAGTCATTCAGTGAAAGCTAATAACCACACGATTTCACACACATGTGGGATATAAAACTGAAAATCATAGATATAGACAACAGTATGGTGGTTACCAGAGGTAAGTGGGTGAGGGGTAGTTAAGAGTAAAGGAGGCCAGGAGGAACCTGGCTATGATGATCACCTGAACACTGCCTCCATGTCATTCCTTCTTCGCCGACTCCATCCACACCTTGGGGAACCCCTGGACCTGCTGGGGCTGGACCCCAACATATGGCGCCTCACACAGGATTCCCCTAGCTGACCCAGAGGGCACAGCTGACTCCTCCCCGGACACCGCCACCACCATCAAGCGCGGCCCTGATGGACACTTTGATGCAGCCCTTCAACTCGTTGATGCTTCGGGAAGCCCGTCGCCAATGACGCCGCCCGCTAGCCAGATCAATAAGGACAACCAAACCACCAGCTTGGGGATAGCTGAAATCCCTTGACTGAAGAGGCCAGCAACCTTCTACAGGAACAAGGCTCCTTGTGCACTCCATCCACTATGTTTATAGCCATGCTCGCTATCATGCTTGTCCGTCTTCTTCCGAGTCTTAAACAACCCAATCCGAGAGGTGGCTGCTGATTTACATATGCTATCATTTAAAATAAAAAAGGGGGAATTTGCCGGAAGCCGGTCCATCCTTGCTGCTTCACACAGTCGCTGCAGGGAAAAAACATCTGCACAGCATATGTTTCAAGGGACCTGGTGTATATGGCATACTGTTCTTAATATGTTTGCTCCCCTTCTTGGCACTATGTGTTTTAACCAAGGTCACCTCTCAAAGAAAGGTCGTTTCCCCTGGTAGGGATTTTCCCCTGAAGTTAGGGAGGGAATAAAACCCCTTAACTAAGTGCCAGGCGGGTAGTTAATCACTTTAACTATGAACAATCACGCTTAAGCTACATAATCTTTACTCCCTGGAATGGAGATAAGAAACGCCCTAACCTTTGGAATAGAAATTGATAGGATTAAAATCAACTGGTATAAATACAGATGTAACAAGACAATAAGACACAGAACTTGGAGTTTCCTGTGGGACGAGGTGGTGGCGGTTGGGTCTGAAGACTGAGCGGTTTCGCCTCCATTTTCCTGCTTATTTTCTCCTCCCTTTTCACTTCGTCCGTGGAGTGCAGTGATGGGTCGCAAGAGGAAGAAGCAGCTGAAGCCATGGTGCTGGTATTGTAATAGAGATTTTGATGATGAGAAGATCCTTATACAGCACCAAAAAGCAAAACATTTTAAATGCCATATATGTCATAAGAAGTTGTACAGAGGACCTGGCTTGGCTACACATTGCAGCCAGGTGCATAAAAAGACAATAGATGCTGTACCAAATGCAATACCTGGGAGAACAGACATAGGGTTGGACATATGTGGTATGGAAGGTATTCCAGAAAAAGACATGGATGAAAGAAGACGACTTCTTGAACAGAAAACACAGGAGCGTCAAAAAAGGAAGCAGCAAGATGATTCTGATGAATATGATGATGACGACTCTGCAGCTTCAACTTCATTTCAACCACAGCCTGTTCAACCCCAACAAGGCTATCTACCCCCAATGGCACAGCCAGGACTACCACCAGTTCCGGGAGCACCAGGAATGCCTCCAGGCATACCTCCATTAATGCCAGGTGTTCCTCCTCTGATGCCAGGAATGCCACCAGTTATGCCAGGCATGCCACCTGGAATGATGCCAATGGGTAGAATGATGCCACCTGGACCAGGAATACCACCTCTAATGCCTGGTATGCCACTAGGTATGCCCCCTCCTGTTCCACGTCCTGGAATTCCTCCAATGACTCAAGCACAGGCTGTTCAGTGTTACAAATTAATCAAAACATGTTAAATAATAGAAAAAGAGAAGAAATCACAACAGTGAAAATACAAATGGCTAATAAATATGTGAAAAACTGCCTAACTTCACTTATAATCTAATGGGAAATGCAAATTAAAACAATGAGGAGTACCTTCCATACCATATATTTCCAACTCTATGTCTGTTCTCCCAGGTATTGCATTTTCCCCAGTGCTGGACAGTCTCAGGCAGCTGTCCAAGGACCTGTTGGTACAGATTTCAAGCCCTTAACAACTACAGAACCCCCGAAGCCTGCATTCCCTGCTTATACGCAGTCTACAGCTTCAACCACTAGTACAACAAATAGCACTGCAGCTAAACCAGCGGCATCAATAACAAGTAAGCCTGCTACTCTTACGACAACCAGTGCAACCGGTAAGTTGATCTATCCAGATGAGGATATATCGTTGGAAGAAAGAAGGGCACAGTTACCTAAATATCAACGTAATCTTCCTCTTCCGGGACAGACTCCCATTGGTAATCCACCAGTTGGACCAATTGGAGCTATGATGCCACCACAGCCAGGCATCCCACAACAACAAGGAATGAGACCCCCAATGCCACCTCATGGTATTTCTTTTTACGTTTATTGTTTTTAGCAGATTTTTTGAATCTACACATAAAATAAGTGTATCTGCAAAAGATACTATCGTAAAAGTACAATGCGCGAACCAACTCAATCTGTTTTTTTTGTATTTTAAATGTGTTTTTTAGGTCAGTATGGTGGTCATCATCAAGGCATGCCAGGTTACCTTCCTGGTGCTATGCCGCCATATGGGCAGGGACCGCCAATGGTGCCCCCTTATCAAGGTGGGCCTCCTCGACCTCCGATGGGAATGAGACCTCCTGTAATGTCGCAAGGTGGCCGTTACTGATCTCGCTTCATCCAATCTAATAGGTTTGGAGATTAAACCTTTTCTCAACTTGTGCTGTTTATATAGCCAAGCTTCCATCAATAAGGCTTCATTGTGACTTTAACATTATCTTTCCACATACCAGGAACTATTGGACATTTATTTTACATGGGAAAATTATTTGGAATAATAAAGCAGGAACTTTTCCTGAAGTTGCAATTTAAAAAAAAAAGAGTAAAGGAGGCCAAATATATGGTGACTGAAGTTGATTTGACTGTGGGTATTGGGCACACAATGCAATATATAATCATGTATCATAGATATGTACATTGAAACCTATATGATCTTATTAACCAACTAGTGGACTGGTGCACAAAATTCATGCATGGGGGTGGGGGTGTCCCTCAGCCTGGCCTGCACCCTCTCCAATCTGGGACCCCTCGGGGGATGACTGACTGCCGGTTTAGACCCAATCCCTTTGGGGTGCCTAAACCGGCAGTCAGACATCCCTCTTGCAATCCAGGACTGATGGCTCCTTACTGCTCGCCTGCCTGCCTGCCTGATCGCCTCTAACCACTCTGCCTGTCAGCCTGCTCACCCCCTACTGCCCCCCTCCGGCCTGCTCATCCCCAACTGCCCCCCCTTGCCAGCCTGCACACCCCCAAATGCCCCCCCGGCCGGCCTGATAATCCCCAACTGCCCTCCTCTCCTGGCCTGATCGCCCCTAACCACCGCTGCCTTGGCCCCGCCACCATAGCTTTGTCTAGAAGGATGTCGGGAAGGTCTCCCGGTCTAATTAGCATATTACCCTTTTATTAGTATAGATGTCACTTCAATAAATTTAATTTAAAAATAAAAAATGATTAAATAAAAATTTGCAAACATGCTGTGTAAACACATAGCCATAATTTTTAAAAGTTGTAAAGTATATATTTGCATGAGGTTCTGTAGAGAGTATAGCAACTGCCTCTATAATATAAATTGCTGCTCTTTTAATTTCAGACCTACCTCCCTTTCACATACAAAGTCAAATCAAAATGAACACAATATCTATTTCTGAGGAAACAGTGGACTTTTAAAGCATAACCAAAGATAAAATACTTGAAAATGTTTTCATTTTATATTTCCATTTTACATTTATATTATTTGGTATCCAGTGAACCAAATCATTCTAAATTTGGTAGCATCTTAAAAAGAGACCAAGTGGAGGGAAAAGTTATGAAAGTACGATGAAACTTTCTAATAGATATAAATACACTTGGAAAATTGCAGTTTTTCAGCCTTGATTCCATGTCCCAGTCTCATTGCATGACTTATCATTTCTTAAACATCCAAATCACTTATTATTCTCGACCACAAAACTGAATCTTTGAAGTCTTATATCCTATCAACTTCTTTGAAATACTTTCAAGATAGCCCCTAAAATTCAAATGTATTTCTCTCATTTTGTACAGTTTGTGAAGAATATAATTTTACATAATTTTTTCAACAGAACTAATTTAACCAATAGAAATATTGATTACACCAATAATTTTTACAATATAAAAAATCTTTGATAAATGTGTAGTCTATATCAAGCTTCTCATAATATTTTATAGCATCTAAAAAATTAGGTCAGCCCTAACTGGTTTGGCTCAGTGGATAGAGAGTCGGCCTGCGGACTCAAGGGTCCCAGGTTTGATTCCGGTCAAGGGCATGTACCTTTGTTGCAGGCACATCCCCAGTAGGGGGTGTGGCAAAGGCAGCTGATTGATGTTTCTCTCTCATCAATGTTTCTGGCTCTCTATCCCTCTCCCTTCCTCTCTGTAAAAAAAATCAATAAAATTTTTTTTTAAAAAAAATAAATAAAATAAAAAATTAGCTCAGATTTGAACTGAAAAACACAGATATACTTTTTTCAAAAGTATTTCCAGATTTATTGTAAAATAAAAATATTATATATATAGTAATCAATGTGATATTTTGATATATGTATAATTTGCAAAATGATTACCTCTATTAAGTTAATTAATATCCATTACCTCATAGAGTTACATTTTTGTGTGTGGTGAGATCACTTAAGATCTAATTCTTCAGCAATTCTAAGTATATATTAGAGTATTATCTATATACTAGTGGCCCAGTGCACGAATTCGTGCAACTTGAAAGGAACTGTGGGCCACCAGGCTGCGGTAGGCACAGGTGTGGGTCTCGGCCCATCCTGCCACAGCCTCCAGGCCACTGTCTGCCAGCATCACCGCTCCCTCCTCCACGACTCCCATGTGCTGATGGTGCCGGCCCTGCTCGTACCTACTGATGGCGCAGAGCAAATGGGGCCGGTGCCAGCATCAGGTGCAAGCAGGGCTAGTGCCGTCAGCAGGTGTGGGCTGCAACTGCTGCCCCTTTCGCCCCTTAGGAGCAGGGGGAGGTGGAGAAGTCCTGAGGGGCAATTGGGGCCAGCAGCCATCACTCATACCCACTAACAGTGCTGATCACTCGGCACTGGCGCCAGCTGCCTAAGCGGGTGCGAGTGGCAGCTCCAGCAGCAGCAGCAGGTGCGAGCAGGGCCAGTGCCGGCAGCAGGTGCAAGCACCTGACAGGACCGCAGCACATGGGAGCAAAGGATTTTCAGTAACCACCAGAGGCTCAAACCGAACACTATGACATGCACTGACCACCATGGGGTGCACATGGAACATGGCGGGTGTTGGCAGCAGGCAGCAGAGCGCGGAACATGGCAGGCATTGTCCATCGCGGGATGGTGGAGCAGGTGAGCTGGGGCGCCAGACCAAGGCGGGACACCAGTTGCTGTCATGGGGGTGAGCCTCTGGTGGTTACTGAAAATTATTTGCTGCCTCGCACGCAGTCCCGCTGGGCGCTCTCATCTGCTGCTAGTGCCACCCCCACTTGCACCTGTTACCAGCCTTAGAGCCACTGCTCACACAGGCTGCCGGTGCCTGGCACAGGCTGCCAGCACCCGGCACCAGCCACAATCACCCCTCAGGGCTTCTCCACCTCCCCCTGATCCTGAGGGGTGATTGGGCCAGCAGCCTCCACTCGCGCTCACTGACAGCTCCGGCCCCGCTCACACCCGCTGCTGGCACCAGCCCCGATAGCTTCACACCATCAGTGGGTGAGAGCGAGGCCAGCGCTGTCAGCAGGTGGGAGAAGCAGCAGTGGAAGCAAGGCTGCCAGCAGACAGGGGACCAGGGGCTGCGGTGGGAGGGGCCAGGCAGGGGCATGGAGGATGGGCCAAGAACCGCCTCTGTGCTCACTGCAGCCTCGCAGCCCACAGTTCCTTTCAAGTTGCACGTTTCGTGCACTGGGCCCCTAGTTAACTATAATTGCTAGCTTGACATTAAATCTCCAGAACTTATTCATCCTAAATAACACATTTTGTACTCTTTGCCTCTTTGACTAACTTCTCCCCATTTCTCTCACTCTCCATCCCCTAATAAACACCATTCTAGTATTTGCTTTTATGAGTTGGACTATTTTAGATTCCACATATAAGTGAGATCATGCATTATATGTCTTACTGTGTCTGGCTTATTTCACTTAGCCTAAAGTTCTCCAGGGTTATCCATGTTGTTACAAATGATAGGATTTTCTTCTTTTTTTAAGGCTGAATACTACGTATGTATGTATGTGTGTGTGTGTGTGTGTGTGTGAGTGTGTGTATGCATCCATGTGTATCACATTTTCTTTATCCATTCATCCATTGACAGACACATTGATTATTTCCATATCCTGACTATATGTATCAATGCTGCAATGAACATGAGCGTGCAGGTGTCTCGTTGAAATCCTGATTTCATTTCCCTTGGATATCTTGAAGTGAAATTGCTGGATCACCTGGTATTTAGTTCTATTCTTAATATTTTTAAGAATCCCACAACTGTTTTCCATAATGGCTGTACCAAATTATATCCCCAACAACAGTAGAAATAGTTCCCATCATTCAACATCCTCACCAACATTTGTTATATTTTGACTTTTTGATTGTGATTTTATTTGCATTTCTTGACAACAATGATGCTGATAACCCTTTCATTTACCCTCGGCCATTTGGATGTCTTCTTTGGAAAATGTCCACCTGGGTCCTTTGCCCATTTTTTAATCAAACTATTTGTTTTTCTTGTTATTGACATGCACAAACTCAGTAACAAGACTATATTTTCACAGTCATTTCATTATGACATAGAATGTGAGGGAAGATATGTATATACATACACACATATATATATACACACACATACACACACTTACAAACACACACAGTGTGTGCATTAGATGTTACAGAAGTGAGAAACAGAATAAAATGCTAAAAGAGTAACAGAATAAGAAATAGTGCTAATTGTCTCAATCTTGACAGTCTTGTTTTTATAATTTGACATATGTATACATATATAAAAGCCTAAGCGACTGATACAACTGAATGACCGGAGCGACCAGTTGGCCAGTTGCTATGATGTGCACTGACCACCAGGGGGCAGACACTCAATGCAGGAGCTGCCCCCTGGCGGTCAGTGTGCTCCCATAGCGGGAGTGCTGCTCAACCAGAAGCTGGGCTCATGGCTAGCAAGCACAGCCGCAGTGGCAGACGCAGCGGGCCTGGGGTGAGTGGGAGTGGTGCAGCGCCTGGCCCTGGATCAGGCTCTTCCCTGGCCACCTACCACTTAGCGCACTGCTACATTCCTCATATCCCATAAGCCTGCAGTTAGAATCTCCAGAGAACAGTTGAAGTGCGGATACTTGGAGTAACCTGGATGAGCCTGATATTGCCGCCGGGCTCCTGGAACTCTGTCTCAGGCATCGAGATAAAATCTCATCCCTTACTGATTGCCCTAGAGCTACAGTGGAAGGCAGCAATATAATAGGTGGCGACTGACAATCAGAGTAAAAGTCAAAGAGAGATGGATCTGAAGGGTGGGGGTGTGGGCAACAGAGCACCTCTTCCCCCCAAGATCCCTAACTTTATATTGTTCACCTCAGAGCGTCTCTTATCTGACTCTGAGCAGTGGAAAGCATCCAGCACAGCCCAAGGCGTACACAGGGGACCTCACGGCCAGCAAGGCATGACACTGGCCGCAGAAGGAACATTTGGAAATACTTTTTCAGGAAGCTGTGGGGAGGAGGACAGACACCCCACACAACTTCCCAGTGGCTCACAGGGACATGGAAGCTCCTCGGGCACACAGGCACGGGCTCCCGATTTCTTTTCAATGTGCACAAATCCATGCACCAGGCCAC